GGGGGGGGGAAGAAACGGCGACCGGACACTGCTGTAGAAGCGAGTAGGGCGGCCAAGGCCGCGCTTGCGGCGAACGACGTACCCAACTGATGATGTTGTCGCACCCTGTGTTCCCTTTTCCCTGCCGTAAGCTGTATGCTCTTAGTATTGCCTCCGGCCTCTCTTTGTGCTTTTCTTCTTTCTTTCTTTCTTGTTCTCCATGCCCTCTCTACGATGATCTTGGACGATACCTCGAGCTCCTTGTTATTTTTGTTTTTTCCTTTGCTGGCTGCCTGCCACCTCTGCTGCCTCTTGGTGCGGTGCCTACCCTACACTAATGCGCTGGTGCATACTGCACTGCTGTAGTACCTGGTACTGGTGTACGTTGTCCTTCGATTTTTTATTTTTTTGTGGGAATATATATGTGTTTGTTTTTCGCCCCCCGTCTTGCTGCACCCCCTGGGGTGTGGTGCAGGGCGGGGGATGCCTGGTCGGCGGGAACCCGGCACGGAACCCTCCGGCGTTGTAGGCGGGTGTGGGAAGCGTTCCCCGTTCTCCTTTTTTTTTTATTTTGATCGGTCTCCTCGACGCTCTTTCTCGTTTGGTGCGGTAGCTGGTCTTTCTTTCTATCATTTTGTTTCTCTTCCGAGTGGTTTTTGTACCCTTTTTTTTTCTGTTTCTTCGTGGGGTCGTGTATGCCGGGTTTTGAGACCACGGGCTCCCAATCTTTTTTTTTTAGAGCTAATGTGAGAAACAACAACAACAACAAACCTCCACTGAACGTTTTCTTCTTCCATTCTTTCGGTTCTTTTGTTCTCAACCAAGCCGTCTTTTCTCTTGAGGACCGGGCGTTTGACCTATAAATGGACCGGTCACAATTGCTAGCCGCTCAAATCGTGCTCTTTCCTTGGGGAAAGCAGCGGATGTCTGCCTTTTGTGCTTTCTTGTCGCCATTGGCTTTGACACACACGTTGAGTGTTACTAACCCAGCGGACAAAAACACATCCCTGTGTTTGCCTGGTGTATATAGAAAGGTCGATGTGATGACCATTTCACGAAAGCGGGGGTGTAGCTCAAATGGTAGAGCGGTTCATTAGCATTGAACAGGTAGGGAGATCGATGCTCTCCACCTCCAGTGTTTTTTTGCAATCCTTATTCGGTTTGTTCTCTCTGATTTTTTCTTAACCAAGCCGCTCTCGCTATTAGTAGATGTCGAAATCAAACCATTTCACTATTCGTCAGCTCTTACAGCTTGAAGAGGTTTGTCTTTCTTTCCGTGGGACAATACACAACGGCAACTGGAACTTGTTGGGATAGATAATGTCACGAATGTTTAACAATCCTCATCTCAACCTATATTTCCGCCAACGAGGTTGTTTGGCGTGGTGCTGCCACCGCCGTAGATGCCTAAAGATATGCCGCTGCTCCTGCCGCTGCTCCTGCCGCTGCTGTAGACGGAGGGCTCGGTCATCATCGTCGTCCGACCGGCGCGACGATGACGAGGAGGAGGAGGAGGAGGAGGAGGAGGAGGAAGATTTCGATCTTCCCAAGGACCTGGGGATAAGGACGTGGACCAAGGCTCTCACGAAGGAGGAGAGGGCCAAGCGGATGACGGGGCTTAAGAGCAAAACCGCCATTCTCTCCGTGCAGTAAGTGACATACACGTGCCCGCTCTTTTCGTAGCCGTTTTTCCATGCTGAACCCCGAGAGCTTTCATTAGGTGTAACTCTGTCTCCTGCGAACACCACAAACTGCTTGAGATAAATCCAGTGTTGACCTTCCTGCTGCGCTACCCCGGCTGGAAGAATGTGCGTGACGGAAACGGTAAAAATCTTTCTTGGATCTTTGTTTCCATCCCACCAGTTCACCTCATTTTTTTTTTTTGCTTTATCGTGAGATTTTTGTATCACAGTGCGTTCGAAGGCAATCTTCGCCGAAAGGCATTTACGTGCGTTCGATGCTTTGCGAGTTCGTTTCGTGTGATTTAAGCGATATGTAGTTGATCAGCCGTCGTTGCTGTTCGGAGCGTTGCGCGGATATTGCCAGTTTTTTCGGCACGAATACGTACACGTTTATTCGGCACGGATACGTACAAGTTTTTTCGGCACGAATACGTACACTACCCGTGTTGTCAAATTCAAGAGACCTCCCCCCTCTCGCGCTGAGACCTCTACTCCAACAAGCGCGATATACGCCCCCCCCCCCCCCCC